CAATCTCCATTCCACACCGCTGCCGTCACCACAGACTCGGAGCAGCCGTCCACCTTTTTCTCTCTCACTTGTGAAGAAGGAATGAGACCTTTTAGATCTTACAGTAATGGATACATCTGTTTAGGCTCTAGTCTTGAGTTTTGTGAATGCATCTGTATATGCAGATTAATAAATCTTAAAATCTTAGTCTTCTATGAGGTTACCAGTGGATTTGTGTGACCCTGAGTGATGCAATGAAATGCAGAATTATCTATTTCCAAGTACATTTTGAGATTTTTAAACCATTTGCCCATACAAAAATGTTGTTATACTAAATGAGAATATATTAGGATACCAGTTGTAATAAAGCATATGCATCAACACCTTCTATAAAGAAAACATCAGTAATGATCTAAAGCAACACAATGCCTAGTATGAATCGCCATCTCCACATGACAAACCGAAGATAAATGATCATTTCTCTCATAGGATGTACAGTGACTTATGTCAGCTTGCCAACAATACACCTTGACTCAGATCAAGGCCAAATCGCTTTGTCTGACGCTGCTCCTGCTGTTTTCTCACATGTGACATCATCTCACCTCACTGCTCACCTTGCTTTGCTTCTTTGCCTTGATGTTGATAGGGATTTCATAGACACTTGTGAATGTGTTGTTCCTTGGGTTATGTCTGGAGGGACAAGACATAAAGAGGAGTCATTTTATTATACAAATTCATTAAAATAAGCAGCAATGGAAAGGGTTCTATTTTCTCTCTAAAGCAGAGTCAGACAGATTTTCTATCAGTTTTTGGGACTATAGCCAGTGAATGAATATCTATCATCAGGGCCTAGCTGTTCAGAAGTAATCCGATAAGACTTCAGTTATCAGATTGGATCAAATCATGAAAATGGGTTATCCAAAAAAAAACAAAAAAAAAAACTCATTGGATAACATTACATAATCCAATCTTGGTTATGATCTGGATCAAACTTTCAGTCTGTGTTGTTCAAAACTTTTTAGTTGGTCAAATAATACAACAATTTACCATTTGTATCATGTAATATAGATACATTTATTTATATTTGCACTTCACTTGTTTAATCTTTATAGTGATAGAGTAAATAAAGTAAATATTAGGTTACCTAATAAGCCTTTCAGTATAGCCTTGAGATCTGCCACAAATGAAGATCTCTGAGTTTAGTTTTTTTTTTTTTACTAATGGATATTTATTCTTTTTATGACTTAAAATACATGTTCTAAATGTCCACAAATCTGTGAATAATGTATACATGTTTATCTTTATTTGTTGGTAACAAAATATGGGATTTCTAAATCTGGATCATTCTGATCCAGATTAAACTTTCTGAACAACTAGACCCAGTTGTTACCGTCACCAGTACTTACACAGAGCAGTATGGCCTCTTTTTGTGGCTGACGAAGTTATTGGCTGTGAGGACCATCTTGCAGACTTCACAGTGAAAACATGATTTGTGCCAGTTCTGACAGAAGAAACAAATTACATTATTCTGACATCTGAGTTCTTGTCTCAAACTTAGGAAATATGACTTTGGTCAAAGTAATTAATTAATTTCAATAATTGAGGTTGACTGTTATTTTAAAACAACTCAAAATACCATTCAGCTGCTGATTGAAGGTTTATACCATACTCTGGCAATTTTCTTGTATTTTAGAGTGGATATTTAGGGCTAAACACCCTCCTACCATCTCTAGAAACATGTTCCCAAAACCTTCCATTGTTACCTGGTCAATACAGTTGATCTTCTCAGCTGGGTAGACCACAAACCCACATCTTGCACAGGACTGCATGGTGAATGTTTGTCCTTTTCCCAGAAAACCTTCACAAAAAATATCAGAAAAGGTATAGTCTGAAATGTCGGCTAAAAACAAGAACCAGGTCAGGCAGGCTGGCAGCAGCTTAGTGAAGGAACTGGCAGTGATGTCCAGGCAGTGGTGACAGTGTGTCTCTGGTGGCAGTAAACTTAGTTCTGTGACTGTGAAACTTTGAAACTGTCTCTTACTTGACACTGTGTCCCATTATGGACCAGCCCCTTTTCATGGCCTGTGCTCAAGGATTGGTTGAGTCCATCTGTCTGTCTGCAGAAAGAAGCGAGAGAGAGAGAGTGTTCAGATGTCACTGCATATATGTAATGGTCCTGAGTTGGACAGCTAGTTCAACTTTTGTCATCTCACCATGACAAATACTACAAAATAAGAGTGTCATTCATTGGGTAATGGTGATAGATAGCAAGACAGATAGATCTAAAAGTATAGACAAATACAGTGTTAAGATAATAACACAAAAACAATCATAATCTTTTGTGTCTTTACTGAACATAACCATTAACATCCACAGTGCTGGTGACAATAACTTCAAATAAGCATTTCTAGTAGCTGCAGCTCAGAACAGCATGATGTTCAGAAGGTACTTTGTGCTGTTGTGACTGCCTCTGTTGAGGTCATTCCACAGCTCTGACTGGGCCACTTAAAAAGACAGATTTTCTTTGTCTAAAATCATTCTGTAGTATTTTAAGGCCACCATGACACTCACCAGGCCCCATCCACCCTCTTTCCAGCTGGTGTACAGTCTCTGGGTGATGGACTTTGGGTGGAAGGCTCTGCGCATTTTGAGGGGTTTCCAGGTCTTCGCATCAGCAGCCTGGATGTCCTCCTTTGGCCAGTTCACTATACCAGCAGGGTATCTGATGACTAGTAGAACTTATGTGTTGACTGATTAAATCTTGTTACTCTTGCATTATGATGACTGCAGCCAATACTGAGTGCAATAACCAACCGTTTGGAATGTTTATGATCTCTTTAATATTCTCATGGATGAGACGTTGTGCATAGCTTTAATTCTACAGATTTATAACATCACTGGTTAAATTTTTCTATAATAATTAGAGCTCTTTTTACTTCACATGTTAGACGCTGGAGAAAACACACTAGACCTGAGTGACGCAGCGTTCTGACGTAGTTACGCACCGCGCGTCCTTTTCGCCTTCTCAGGTTTTCTGAGGAACAGAAACTCAGCGAACTCTTTGAAGAGGGAAAATCGACCTACAATCAATTTTTGCGCAATAGCTAAGTTAAAGAGGAACAGTGTAAACAAACGAGTGATACAGTGTAAGTTCATGCTAACGTCGTCGCTGATAATGATTTTGATTGACAGCTATCGACTCTTGCCATTACTTTGTCTTTATCTACTAATAAAACAGGAACTAACAAATTCGGTTTAACTATTAATGTTAACTGACTAAACTGGTAATTAAACTAGCGAATGTTACTTAATTATGGGGTAACAACATAATAGTTTATACTACTGTAAAACTATTTTAACAACCACCCTCGGCAGTAGGTAACTGGGGAAATGAGGAAATGGCGTTCCTGTTAAAATGATCTTAGCCATAGTGCAGTTGTTTTTAAAACATGATGTACAGCAAGTTAAACCTTCCAAAACCTAAAATGCAATACGTGTGCTAACTGCAGATGGCTGGAGAACCTGCTGTGGCAGCTGAACTTGGAAGTGAAGTTGAGCAAAGTGAAGAGATGCTGGGAGACGTGACAGACG